AGACAAAAGCAAACCACTCAAAAGTCAAATGTTGGTGAAAGTGAAAGTCAGCATTTATTCAGGAATACCAGTGACTTGAGGAGAGATGTTAGGCTAACCTATCTCTCTGTTAAACCCGAAGGAGCATGGCCAGGCTAAAGCCATCTCAACGACTCAGGTTCACTGAGGGCTTTTTAAAGAGGGAGCTGAGCGAATGGAACATGGGAAATGAAAAGCAGGAGGGAGAGCACGTTAGCACTGAAGGCTTCATGCAAGATCTCAGCCACAAAGTCTCCTCAAGCCTCCGTTTGGTTTCTGCTCCCATCCGTGCTGTTATCTCATGGTCCTGCTGGAGGGGTGGAATCAGCATAGCTGTACTGACGTCTTCCTTAGTTTCCCAGTGTCTGGATATACATGCAAGTCTACAGCTCTGGGCTGGCTGGAAAACAACTTTACATTCATATGAATAATGTCATCCTTCTCCATAACCAAGGTTCAAAATATCAAATAACCATTGGGAAAGAGGAAACTCAGAGAAATGCATGCCAAGAAAAAAACTGTGTCCTTTTAAAATCCTTTAGAGCCCATGCGGTTTTAGGTCCCAACATGGCTTCAGTCCTGCTCACTCCAACAGAACAGCAACCAAACAGGAAGGGACGGTTTCCTCCTCCTGCCTCCTCCTAATGCTTCCTGTTGGCAGAGTGTAAGCAGCAAGTAAAGGAGAACTGACTAGTACAGTACTCAGCCGATAGAAGGCTGGGCTGTAGCAGGAAGACAAGAGCCCAAGTACTGGCACATAGTCCAAAGTTATTTTATGCCAAATTGTGAGAGATCATTTAATTTTGGCAAAAGTTTGTAATATTGCTCTGCTCACATTCTAATACGAACCCCCACTGGTGTACTGCAATAAATTTATGGCACTAATGACCCAAAGTTAGTGCAGACCACACAAATTGAAGAGCATAGTCCACAGCAAGATTGCCCACACTTCAGACTAACTGACAGTAAATGCAGGGGCTTCCCACAACCCCCATCCGGTTCTGTAATTTGCTAGAATGTCTCAACTAAGAAAAGTGCTATCCACATAGCCTTCCATGTCCACAGGTTCTGCAGCTGCAGATCAGAAATCTGAGGTTGATTGAATCCATGGATGCAGAACCTGTGGATACCAAACACTGACTATAAGGGACTTGAGCATCAGTAGATTTTGGTATCTGCCAAGGTGGATGGGATCCTGGAACCAATCCCACATGGATACCAAGGGACGACTGTACTTACTGTTACAGTTGTTTAATATGGGATACAACTCCAAAGCAGCCAATGAAGAGATACATAGGGTGAGGTCTGGGAGGCTCCCAAATGCAGAGTTTCCATGCCTTCTCCTCATGGAATCAGCACATAGCCCTCCTGGCACATCAGTGTATTCAGTCAGGAAGCTCCACTGGGCTTCAGTGTCCAGAGTTTTTATTGGTGTTTTATTATGTAGGTGTGATTGATTTAATCATTGGCTACATGATTGAAGTCAATCTCCAGCCCCAGCTTTCCTCTCTGGAGGTGGGGCTAGCTCACATCCCCAACCTTGTAATCATCATATGTTTGGCCTATCTGGTGACCAGCCTCCATCCTGGGTCATCTCATCTCTTAGCATAAACTCAGGTGTGATCCAAAGGGCTCATGAATAACAAAGACACTCCTATTACTTGGGCAATTCCAAGGATTTAGAGTCTCTCTTCCAGGAATCAGAGACAAATGCCAAATTCTTTATTTTTCAACAGATTACAAAACAAGAGAAAAATATGTTATTAAATGGATGGCCAAGTGCATTTGGCAGAATGCAAATTCTCATTGCAAGTTTTAGAAACATGTAAAATAATGGAAAATTAGTGCTAGAAAAGCCCTGAAAAACCATTTGTCAACACTAATAAACTAGCTCAGAACATTAATAAGTGAGTTTTGTTCTAAAACTTGCTTTTATTTGGAGTTTAGGAACCTATTCTTCTTAAAGAGACATTCTTACCCAATGGTTATTAGTTCTTAGTCCAGTTTTAAAATTTTAATAATTAATCCAGTAGTAATAATAACTGATATTTACTGAGCTGAGAATCTGCTGTATGCCAGTATACTAGTATTATTCTGTATGCTAGGAAGTAGTAAGGATAATATGTTTGGAAAATTGAAGAAGATGACGACCTAAGTGAGAAGCAACATTAAGAGAGATTGTCAGGGCTGGCTGGTTAGCTCAGTTGGTTACAGCATGGTGTTATAACACCAAGGCCAAGGGTTCAGATCCCCATACAGGCCAGCTGCTGCCCACCCCCAACACCCCAAAAGATTGTCTTTGTCAGTCACCTGTAGAATCTTAAAAATATACATGTAAATAGTCATTACATTCCTGGACAAATACTCTAAGAAAATAATGGCCTCAGGATTGTGAGAAACAAGAGGAAGAATGTATATGAAGAGCTTAACACAGTTTGTAGCACTGAGTAGTAGCTCAAAAAAAAACAAAACCCCAACTCATTTAAGGCAGGACTCAGTCTATAGTACTGAAGTGGATATAGGACTTAGCATAAAATAAACATAAAACTAGAAAAAGTAACACATTTGACCCAATTACTTGGAGGTGGTGAAAAGTTAGGGCTATATTTTATCATGTGATCAAGTTCTAGGGCAGTAGAAATGAACTGTCCAGAGTACGCAGATGTGTTGGCTTCTTTTTTCCAGTATAATAAATCTAATGGAACGAAATAAACAAAACCTCATTTAAGAAGAAGATTACAAGACTTCAAAATAATGAGGAAAAAAAACATAATTTTTAAAAAGTTTTATTTACATTACCTAATATCTATGGGTGATTTTATTTATTCATTTGACAATCATTTATTCAGCATCCAGTGCCAAGTGCTGTACTGGACAGAGAGGACAAGGTAAGTAGCACATGGTTCCTGTGTGCATGGCATAAACAGCCTAGGGGAAAAAGATTTCTGTCACAGACTGGAAGCACAATGCAGCTTTACCCCTCAGTGTATGGTTTAATGTGTTATGGTGGTAAGTAATCACATAAGAAAGATATACAACTGTTAGAAACTATGTATTTAAAGAATTTAGTGACATAGGAAAATGTTAAACGTACAGCTTAATACAAAATGGAAATTACACAAATCGAAAGGAAAAATCCTATCATGTATATAAAAGGAAAAACCCTTCTATCAAGGATAGATGAATGTATGTATAATCTGACAATTGGCCAAGGATTGTTTTTTTTCTCTTAGAGCATGTGAATTGTATTAAATATGTGATTTTCAAATTCTCAGGGGACAGTCGTAAGCCAGTGGTTATATGAAATTAGGCCCCAAATCAGTACCTCAGTTTCCTTGCCTGTAAAATGTGGAAAAAAGCACTCTATTCTCAGTTCACATGCAAGGTTGGGTCCAAAGATGTGTGCCTTACACTCTCTCCCTGAGAAGGGGATGATTAGGCCTCATCAAAGCGTTTCCCCTAAACATTTCTAGACATGCGTGATAGAAAATAAACACATTAAAAATAATTCTCATTGGAAAAGTTGTTACTGGATTTTCTAACCATTATTTATTCTCATTACCAGGTTATCCTTTCCCTACTGCTCCTCCTGTGGATCCATTTGCCAAAATCAAAGTGGATGACTGTGGAAAAACTAAGGGATGCTTTAGGTTGGTAGAACTGCAAGTTGGATAACTTTAAGAAATTCATTAACTTCTGGGTCGGCCCAGTGGCACACTGGAGAGTGCGCCGCTTGGGAGCATGGCGGCGCTCCCGCCGAGGGTTCGGATCCCATGTGGAGACCGGTTCCCGCTCACTGGCTGAGCGTGGTGCGGGCGCAACACCGAGGGTTGCGATCCCATTACTGGTCGATAAAAAAAACAAAAAGGAAAAAAAAAAAAGAAATTCATTAACTTCTCAAGGTAGTACTTAAATTGCAATCAGTTCATTCTAATCAGGGGCCTGTACCCCTTCATAACTTCAGCAGGATTATGAAGATCTCTAATGGCCACCCCCGTTTCCAGTCTTAAGGGCCTTTTAGCTCTAGCACACACTAGGCCCTGGACCATTCTCTGGTTCCTCATTTCTGGCTGTACTGCTGTTGGCCTGGGTGTCTGCTCCTCACCAACCAGTTGTATGAAGAAGATTCACGTGACACAGAATATGTCTGTGCTTATTCAGCAGGGGCTGTGGGCAGGATGGGCAATGATAGACATGTCTGACAACAAATTCCTTTTCAAATAAATAGTCATGCCTTCGGATATCTGTATGATCTCAGGTGTAGTGAGTCCCTACGTGACCATTAGTACTATTCTATCAATACAGGATAGGCTGGGGCTAGAGAACAGTAGTGTGGACAGGGGGGCCCCCATCTAGACAGCTCTGCTTTGTTGGAAAAACCTCCTCCTCTTTGAAACTATTACTTCCTGAAACAAATTGTCCCTGAGTAAAGGCCACTGCACTGGGGTGTTTTTGTTGTTGTTCTGAGCTTGAGGTTGAAGGGGAAAAAAATGAATGGAGAGGCTTTGAACTTTCTTTGGATTACAAGGCCATTTCTAAGGAGTGAAAAAAAAAAAAAAAAAATCCAATAATACTAAGTACTACTACTATTGGAAGAAAATAGTCAGCAATGTGTAATTCTGGTGATTAGGTGTTGCTTTGTGTTGCTTCGCCCCCACAGATTTGTCACCCCACTTCCCCTGGATGACGGAAACACAAAGGATTACTCAAAGCCCATCTCTTCCAAGCAGTGAGAAGCCCCGAAGTGGTTAACTTCCCTTCCTCGGGAAATTAATGCCAAATTGGGGTTCTCTTCCTGCATTTATTTTCCAGACAAGGAAGTTACAGGAAGCCAACAAAGGTGGGGTTGTAGTTGAACAGTATAGGCTGGTAACTTTCAGTGAAACAAGCCAGATGACATTCCAGTAAGGCTATTAAGTGGTCTTAACAACACAAGCTTGATCTTAGCAAACATTCCTTCTTACAGCAATTTCTCAGTATCTTTACATAACAATCGGTAACTAATCTGTCTCTGAGCCAGCAACCTGCTATGCCACAAATCTTTATCTTACACAGAGATTTACAGCCTGAGGAAGATTTCCTGTCCTTGCAAGGTCAGTATTTGAAAGTGCAAGGCTTTGGAAAACCAGACCCTGTGAAGTACATATGCCTTATAGTATATTCCACAATTAGGAGATGTTTTTGAGAAGAGAAGGAGTTTTAGTACCCTACTGGCTTCAGAGTGACTTGTTTTCTGGCCCATTCTTTAACTTTTCTTACCCCTTTTCATCTTCTTCACCCAGTTTCGTGCAGCCGTGATCTTACATCTTTTCCCAGCTGCTCAGAGTATCTCTGCCAGCATAGTAGCATGTTCTTACCTCCCTCCTCAATCAAAACGTAGCACCCTTGTGCGTTGTTCCTTCAGACACCTTCCATCTGAGCACCCATTGCTACAATTTTCTGTCATTCTGAAAATGATATAATTCAGTGTTTCTCAAACTAGGGCTTGCCGGTTCTTAAAGGATCCAAAAGTCTTCTGTTAAGAAAATGTAAATTCGTGTTTTCATTCCAATGCTGCTCTTTAAAAAGGTGAATGTATGCATAATCTGACTATCTGGATAATTGCCTTATACTGCTATATGTTTTAGTGTCTGATTTGTAATTGTGTTAGTACTGAGGAGCCCAACAGAACAAAGGCAAATTTTATAAATAAATGATGCATTCATGTTCAGCAAATACCAGATGAGGTATTTATTTGGTGCATTGTATGAATGAGGGTTTTGCAGCAGTTCAAACAGATAAAAATGGAACAGAATTGAGCCATCATACTGTAGTCATCATGCTAAGAACATGCTCAACTCAGAAGACCTTTTAATGGTACAGTCAGACATACCACATGCACATAAGCAGAAATTTACTTTCAGTAAAACCACATCATCCTTTTCATGAATGCTGTGAATGGCAATGTTCCTGGGTTTTTTTAGCCTAATTTATATTTAATTTGTAAATTTGTATTAGTTTAATTGTATGAAAATTTGTAAGTAAAAAGAGTTGGTATACATTTAATTAACAAAACTATTTAAATTATTAACTTGGAGGATCTTTTCCTCTAAAAGGGATTCAGAAATAATTCAATAAGAACTAACGTTTAAGAAACTCCAATGTAATATAGAGAACACTGGCTGGGAGTTTGGAGACTCAGGTTTAAGTCCTGTTGCAGCCACGGACTTCACTATACAATTTTGGGCAAGCTCCTTCCCATCTCTGGACCTCAGTTTATATGTAGATAAAATGGAGCAGATCATCTCCAAGGTCCCTCCACACTGAGTGAAATTGTGTTTTTAAGATCCCAGGTATCAAAGATCTAATTTGTTTAATAATATTGCTCAGTATCCCGCCTGATACATAGTAGGTGCTTTTAATGTATTTTGAATAAGTAGAAGCAGTAATGTCTCTTTTGATCTACCCTCCAGATATGGCAAACCAGGCTGCAATGCAGAGACCTGTGACTACTTCCTTAGCTACCGGATGATAGGTGCTGATGTGGAATTTGAACTGAGTGCAGACACGGATGGTTGGGTAGCAGTTGGATTCTCTTCAGACAAGAAAATGGTAAGACGCACAGCATGTTAGCAGCTGATTTTTCCATTTAGTTTGCTGTGCTACTTTAGATGTTAGAAGCAAATTAATTGATCAAAGTAGTATAATAATTATATTAGTTATAGCTGTCTGATTGCAAACTAAAAAAATTCAAGCTAGCTTGGATAGGAGGGTTCATTATCAGAATACAAGGTGTCTTGTGGCACCCATACTCATCAGCTGTTTCCACAGTAATGCTGCAAGAAGAGCCTCCAAAACTCCATGGCTTTTAACAGTAAGCATTTATCTCTTGCTCACATGTGTGTGGGTTGGCTGGGGTTCAGCTTATTTTAGGTGGGGATCAGCTGGGCTTGGCTCCAGTCCATGGGTTGGATTCAGGTTTTCTCTAGTCATTCTGGAATTGGTAGCTACCAAGGCATGTTCTTTTCATGGCAGAGGCAGAAATGCAAGAGCCACTGTAAGAGGAATACTGTTTTTTCTCTCTACTCACACACTAAACACAGAGCATTTCTGTGACCAGATTTGTATGGGGTTTTTCCCCATACAACAAGAAATTCTCTAGTACACACCAATTGGGGGTCCTCTAATTCAATTCATTTGTGACATTATCTACCTGGAGATGACCTTAGATCCCACAAGCCAAGAGCTTAGTCCCACAAGACTGCCCCACTTTGGATGCCAATTGCAAGTCCCAGATTGTGACCTGTGCTTCTGACCAACCACTTATAAATCAGCGTTCCACAACCCACTCCTTGGATTCCATTAATTTGCTAGATTGGCTCACAGAACTCAGGGAAACACTTTACTATGTTTACCTGTTTATTATAAAGGGCATTACAAAGGATATAGATGAATATCAAGATGGAAGAGATGCACAGGGCAAGGTATGGGGGAAAGGATGCAGACCTTCCATGCCTTCTCCAGGCACGCCACCCTCCAGGAACCTCTATGTGTTCTGCAATCCTGAAGCTCATCTGAACCCTGTCCCTTTGAGTTTTTATGGAGGCTTCGTTATGTAGGCATGATTGACTAAATCATTGGACGGTAATGATCAACTCAACCTTCAGCCCCTCTCCCGTTCCCAGAGATCAGGGAGTGCGGCTGAAAGTCCTAACCCTGTAATTATGCCTAGGTCTTTCTGGTGACCAGCCCCTATCCTAAAGCTACCTAGGGTCCCCTAGCCACTAGTCATTTCATTAGCATACAAAGACACTCTTATCACTCTGGAGATTCTAAGAGTTTTGAGAGCTGTGTGCCCGGGACCAAGGACAGAGACCAAATACATATTTCTTATATCACAATATCACAACCACATAAGCATATTTCATACCTCCACTCATGTCACATCTGCTAACATTCCATTGCCCAAAGCAAGTCACACAGCCAAGCCCAAAACGAAAGGGCCAGGAAGTACACTCCCCTTACCAACAGGCCCTGCAAAGGTGTGGGTATATAATACTACTACAGGGGGGGTGAAGAGTTGGGTCCAACTATTCAGTCTTCCACAGTACCCACGGGCAAGAAAACATCTGGACCCCAGGGCTGTGGGCAGGAACAGGCAGGACATCAGGAGCCCAGGCATGGTTCATCTCTGTACTCTTCTTTTCTCTGGGCCTCCACTGCATGCTGCCCTCACTGCTCTGCAGCCCCATCATTTTCCTCTGCACTGTGCCAGGGTTTTCTGTAAACTTCTAGATTTGTTAGGCCTCTCTGCCTTTGCACCTGCTGCCACTCTTGTCTGGAGGACCCTTCCCCTTCTCTCTACCTGCCTGTTTTTTTTGTTGTTTGTTTGTTTGTTTTCCGTTTTTTGTCTTTTTTCGTGACCGGCAACGGATCGCAACCCTCAGCGTCGCACCCGTACCGGACCGGGACCGGCAACGGGATTGCAACCCTCGGTGTTGCGCCCGCACCTCGCTCAGCCAGTGAGCAGCCGGTCTGTACGTGGGATCTGAACCCTCGCCGGGAGTGCCGCCATGCTCCCAAGCGGTGCACTGTAGCAGTGCGCCACCGGGCCGGCCCATACCTGCCTGTTTTGAGGATACTACAGTGGTACAGGTGGGAGAGGAGGGCAGCTCAGACTGTTACCCAACTCATATCCAGCTGCCTACCCCCTTGAGAAGAAAAGAAAAAAACTCAGAAGTCAAATGATTGGTGTTAGAAAAGCAGATGTATTCAGCCGAAGGAGATGGTAGGCTATCCCATCCCAAAGATTTAGATTTACTGAGGGGTTTTTAAAGGAGGATTCGAGGGAATGGAATGTGAGAGGTGAAATGGACGAGAGAAGGAGACATGAGTTACAAGGGGTCCATGTCTATGGGTCGGGTACAAGTTCTTGCCAAGACCTCATCTAGTTTCCGTTCTCTTCTTTGCTGTTATCTTAGGACCCTGCAAGATTTTTTTTTTTTTTTTTTTGTCCTTTTTGAGACCGGCCGCACCGTGCTCAGCCAGTGAGTGCTGTGAGCGCACTGGTCATCCCCATATAGGATCCGAACCCGTGGCGGGGGCACTGCTGCGCTCCCAGCGCCACACTCTCCCTAGTGCGCCACGGGCTCGGCCCAGGACCCCGCAAGATTTTGATTTGCGCTGGTGTACTTGGCTGGTGCCCAAGGTCAGCTTCCAGTCACTGGCCTTGATCATTTCTCAAAGCTCTACAAGTCTCAAAGAAAGAACTGTTAGCTTTATAAAGTACTAATTAGCTTCTCAGCCTTGTTTTCCTGCTTAGCGAGCAAGATAAGAAAGTCAGGGGATGGGAAGAAAGAGTGGAGAGAAATAAAACTGTCCTTTTAAAAATCCTCCCCTCCTCTGCAGCCCAGGCAGCTTTAGGTCCCAACATGGCTTCAGTCCTGCTCACTCCAATAAGACCAGGGTTATAGCAGCGGTGATGGTGAGAGGGGCTCAGATTTTGGATGTGCTTTGAAGGAAGCACTGGCAGGACTTGCTAAGGGATTGGATATGTGTTGTAGGTGGGTGGTAGGAAAAGACTGGGGGAGCAGTCTAAGCAGTCACCTGCTCTGGTGGCTTTGTTCTTGGAGAGGTCACCAGAAGAATGAACCTTCACCAATTCCCAGTCCAGGCAGTAACACGAGTACAGTTGGTAAGAGTATGTGGATGTGAATCTACATGACTTATCTCCTCCAGTAGTATCAGTAGGAGACACAGCAGGAATGTACAAGCATGTACATTGAAAATGGTCATTTCCTGTCCTGGAATGCATTTGCACTCATGGTGGGGCTGTTAAGATTAGGGGCTCAGAGGAGTGAGGTAGAATAAGGAGCATTCAAATGTTATGTTCAATATTCTGCTATCTAAAGGCCTTTAAAATATCTGCCCTGATACTGTCTGTGAAAGTAGAGGTCTCTCTTTTCTCCTTCTTTTATTTCAAGAAAAAGCAAAATGGAACACCTCTGTAATAGAGGGGTTTAACCTTTTTTTATAGTACATTTTTAACAATTAGACTTTATTTTTTAGAGCACTTTCAGGTTCACAGTAAAATAGAGCAGAAGGTACAGAGATTTCCCATTTACCCCCCTGGGTCGTCTCCCCCATTATCAACATTCCCTACAGAGTGGTGTGTTTGTTACAAATCGATGAATGCCTTTAACTTTTCAAACTTGTTTTGAAAAAAATTTAAACCTACAGACAATCTGCAAGGATAGTACAATAAGCTTATATATACACTCACACATATATAATATACGTGTGTGTGCGTGTGTGTGTGTGTGTGTGTGCTTTATCCAGATTCACCAAATTACTTTTTTTATTGTGGTAAAATGCACATAATATAAAATTTACCATTTTAACCATTTTAGAGTATATAATTCAGTGGTATTGATTACACTCAGTGTTGTACAACCATCATCACTCTCTGGTTCTAGAACTTTTTCATGTGTGATAACATTTTGTCACACGTTTTATTGTCTCTCTGCTGCTGCTATGACTACTACTTATTATTATTTTCCTGGGACCCTTGCTATGGGGATTGAACCCTTGACCTTGGTGTTACCAACACCGTGCTCTAACCACGTGAGCTAATCAGCCAGCCCACTGATATCATGACCTTTTTAACTCTAAATACTTTAGTAGGTATCTCCTAAAATCAAGGACATTCTCTTTCATTATACAGTTTATTTATTAAATTCAGGAAATTTGACGCTGATATGATAGTATTATCAAATATGCTGTATATTTTCAAATGTTGTCAGTTGTCCCAGTATTGTCCTTTAAAGACTGTCACTCTGAAATCGGTTTTGTGGAAAGAGACATCCTCTTCTTTTCTCTGTCTCTGCTGGTGACTCTTCTTGTGTGAATGCACTTCAGTGGTTGGCGGACCATCTGCATGGTGGCTGTGGCGTCTAGCCACTTTTGCAGCAGCCATGGTTATTGTGGTAGATGTGGTGGGCCACCTACGTGGAGGAGCTGCTTTTGGCATGCTCCTTGTCACTGGCGGTATGTCTGGTTGTGGGGTGTGTTTGGTCCCTTTCTCCATGCCTCTGGTCCCTGAGCAGGCCCCAAGGCACTGGCCCCATGTGCCTGGTTGTGGGACAGGGGTCCACTCCCCTTATCCATGTCCCGGGTCCCTGGGCAGGCCCCGAGGTACTGGCGCAGTGTGCCTGGTTGTGGGAGGAGGGTCCAGTCCCCTTATCCATGCCTCGGGTACCCAGGTGGGCTCCACGGTGCTGGTGTTTTGTGCCTGGTGTGGGAGGAGGGTCCAGTCCTCTTCTGCATGCCTCTGGGCTGGGCAGGCCCCAAGCTGCTGGCACGGTGTCCCTGGTTGTGGGAGAGAGGTCCAATCCCCTTCTCCTTGCCTCGGGTCACTGGGTGGGCCTTAAGGTACTGGTGTGGTGTGCCTTGTAGGATGAGGGTCTGGTTCCTGGCTCCATGCCTCAGGTCACTGGGTGGGACCCAAGGCACTGGCTTGGTGTTCCTGGTTGTGGGGGAGACATCTGGTCCCCTTCTCCATGCCCTGGGCCCCTGGTTGGGCTCTGAGGTGCTGGCATGGTGTGCCTGGTTGTGGGAGGGTGGTCCGGTCCCCTTCTCCATGCCCGAGTATGGTGCGCAGGCCCCGAGGCACTGGTGCAGTGTGCCTCGTTGTGGGAGAGAGGTCCAGTCCCCTTCTCCATGCTCTGGGTCCCTGGGTGGGCTCCAAGGTGCTGGCATGTTGTGCCTGGTTGTGGGAGGGTTGTCTGGTCCCCTTCTCCATGCCCTGGGTCCCTAGGTGGGACCCAAGGTGCTGGCGTGATGTGCCTGGTTGTGGGAGAGAGGTCCATTCCCCTTCTCCTTGCCTCGGGTCCCCGGGCAGGCCCCAAGGTGCTGGCATGGTGTGCCTGGTTGTGGGAGAGAGGTCCATTCCCCTTCTCCTTGCCTCGGGTCCCCGGGCAGGCCCCAAGGTGCTGGCATGGTGTGCCTGGCTGTGGGAGGGTGGCTAAGGCTTTTTAATGGCACTTAAAAGGATTTTTTTGGTGGGATTTCAAATTACTGAGGTAACGGGTTTCTATATTTCTGGTGACAAATTTGCAAAAGACAAACCTTTCACTTTTTTCTTCTTAATCATTTTTCATGTTAGGGTGGTGACGACGTCATGGCCTGCGTCCATGATGACAATGGCAGGGTCCGCATACAGCACTTCTATAATGTAGGCCAGTGGGCAAAGGAGATTCAGAGAAATCCTGCCAGAGATGAAGAAGGAGTTTTTCAGAACAATCGGGTCACCTGCAGATTTAAACGCCCAGTGAATGTTCCCAGAGATGAAACAATTGTTGATCTGCATTTGAGTTGGTATTATCTGTTTGCCTGGGGTCCAGCCATTCAGGGTAAGCTTACATTTTAGCGTCTGGATTAAACACCAGACAACACTGTGCTTGTATTCATGATTAATTAAAGTTACACTGTGTATGCAAGAGAGCGATAAGCACTCTGGATAATAGAAAAGAAAAAGGAGCTATGACTCCTACCTTCAGAAGTTACAGTGGATTTATTATACACATGGACAAGCATATAGACAAAGCTAGAGCAGCACAAGATAGTATGTGATGAGTTATGTGCTTAGTGAAACAGATCATATGTCTGCTATGTGAGGGGGTAGGGGTTCTATTTAATTCTCATAGTGTGTTCATTTACTCCCTACTACGTCTTTGAGAGGTATGGACATTATTATCCTCATTTTAGCGAGATTAAGGAACTTGCTCAAAGCTAATTAATGGAAAAAACTAAAACTCAGTCCTAGTTCTGTCTGACTCCAAAGTCAGTGATACTCTTAACTCCTATACTTTAAATATGAAAAAAGGGCTTCTAGAGACTTCTCTAGAGGTTGACACCAAGCATTTCATAAGTGCTCACTTTATGACCACTCTAGTGGTCACAAAGCCACCTATAATTCAGCCCATTACTCCTCCAATTTGAATGTGTATAGGAATTACTTGGCTATATTGTTAAAATGCAGTTTTCTGTAGGTCTTGGGTGGGGCCTGAGACTGTGCATTTCTCACAAGCTCTCTGGTGATGCTGGTCCCTGGATGGCCTCATGTTGGGTGGCTGGGCTCTTCAGCTTTTCCCCAACAAAGACCCATGGATAGTATGAGATCTTTTAGAGACTGCTAAAATCAAGTTACCCTGTTTCTTGAGCATTCCTTCTGGTTGACCGCCTAATGGCCTGACCGAGCATGGAAGTAAGCTTGGTTTGCTGTCCTGGTGCTAAACCCGTTCTGACTCCTGGTCCTTGCATTCTTTTCACTGTGTGCCCATCAACTATTTGTTGCCCAATCTGATCTGGTTGTTTTTTCCTTTGATCCGTCCCCATTGATCAGTCTGGAGATTACATAATCTAGTTTTTTGCCTGTTGCCAATTAGGAAAATACTTGGATGCCTCCAGATTTGTGACACCTTTTCCATTTGATGTTTTCCCATATTTCTGACAGTGGATCTTCAAGTACTTTCAGTACCCTGGGAAATAAATGATATCTCATCTTGGAGAAATGAACTCATTTAAAATGATGGCACTGGAGTCTAAAAATGAGTTTGGGTATTGGTTGTGCCCCTTGGTGGCTGTATAATATTTAGTCTGTTATCTAAATTCTGAAATTCATTTCCTTATTTCTAAAATGGGGATAAAAGTAATACCTGCTTCAAAGGTTTATTGTAAGGATTAAATGAAAACAAGTACATATTTGAAATTGCTTGCCAGATTGGGAAGTGCTATGTTTTCAGAAAGTCATCTTCTTACGTATATGGTATACTAGTCTCACGTTCAAACCCCTCTCCAAATCTGATCTTGCTTTACTTGATAGGCTCTCTCAGGACTTCTGTTGTTCTCACTTTCTGCAAGCAAAACAGGCACATTCCTACCCCATATACAGGCTTGTGCTTTTCTTGTTTCCTGACTGCCCTTCTAGTGCCTCTCTATTGATTAAATCCTATCCATTCTCTTAAGGTCTCTTGAACGGAATAAACATGGAGCTAAGGTGTGAAGGGGGTATAGGATTGGGTTTTCCTCAATGAAGGCATGAACTCGAGGTTCATGGTTAAGTCTAGGAGCCCATGCAGATTACCAGTGAAGTGATGTTAGGTAGGAAAGGTAATGGGACCTGTTGAGAGAATGCCAATCTGAGGAGTTTGATTTGTGTTCACAGGAGCCAGCACTGGAACAGGGACTTGACATGTCAAGTTCAGCAGGGCTTCCTTAGCACACAGTACTTTAAAAACCCTCACTCTGAGCCCTATTCCTAAGGAGACCTTTGCACTGAGTTCATATGCCTTAGTCTCACTAACCTAAGTTTCATATGGATTATTCAGGAGGTCGGGCACTTCTAATCAACTTCAGCTTAGTAAGTATCTGTCAAGCTCTTTTACTTGCTGTAATCCTGCACTGACTGGGCTAACTATCACGTTAGCGCTGGGTCTGGAGCTCACAGACCCCTCAAGCCTGTTGTCCAGACTGGGTCACAAACACTTCACATGCCAAGCTGGGTCCCCAGACCCCTCCCACACCAGGCTGGGTCACCACAGACCCCTTACACGCAGGTCTATGAGCTAGGTAACTGGCAAACAGGTCCTTGGAAGTCCTACGTAGGTTGGAGAGCATGGGGCGGATACCCGAGGCAGATGCCAGCCAAGCCACAGCGCTGCACATGTGCTCCAACTCCACCCACACACAATCTATTTACAAAGAATGCACCACAACACCCCCAACCGGACAGGCAGGCAAGGTGGCCTGATCAAATTATTGTATTTTCCCAACAGTATCTTTTACACACAGCCTTTCCGTCTTTCTTCTTGTAACCAGGTCAAAATCACCATTCTTTCACATTTCTAAAGGACTGGTTCCCTGGCCAGCAGCCGAACCCAGGCAGTGACAGTGAAAAAACCAAATCCTAACCATTAGACCACAGGCTGGAGCACCTACTTTCTGTAACATTCTACCTACTCTGCCAGACAGACACACAGACACATGCAGACGTAGATGTAGCATACTACACTCTCTCTGGCCTGCCCCTCCAGGCTACTTCTTTATATCCCACAGACAATGAAACAGGGCTTCCATCTATAAGTGAGATGTTAGTGTCGTCACGAGTTATTGGTGATCCACATATAAAAGATAGATTTGAGAGGAAAAATAGTAGCCTTTGCTGTTTGACATATCAAAATAAAGTTTTTCCATTTGGTATAAATAAGATGAAACTCATTAGAGGTGTTCAAAGTGGGCACTCATACAATATTGTCTGCATAGCAGTCTTAAAACTGGGATGCCATGGAGAGACCAGTAGCATTATTCTGATGGGGTGGTGCACAGATTAATGAGAACTGGTTTTTTTTTTTTGTCTTTTTCCGTGTCCGGCAACGGAGCGCAACCCTCAGTGTCGCCCCCGTACCGTATCCCACAGACAATGAAACAGGGCTTCCATCTATAAGTGAGATGTTAGTGTCGTCACGAGTTATTGGTGATCCACATATAAAAGATAGATTTGAGAGGAAAAATAGTAGCCTTTGCTGTTTGACATATCAAAATAAAGTTTTTCCATTTGGTATAAATAAGATGAAACTCATTAGAGGTGTTCAAAGTGGGCACTCATACAATATTGTCTGCATAGCAGTCTTAAAACTGGGATGCCATGGAGAGACCAGTAGCATTATTCTGATGGGGTGGTGCACAGATTAATGAGAACTGGTTTTTTTTTTTTGTCTTTTTCCGTGTCCGGCAACGGAGCGCAACCCTCAGTGTCGCCCCCATACCGGACCGGGACCGGCAACGGGATCGCAACCCTCGGTGCTGCTCCTGCGCCTCGCTCAGCCAGTGAGCGGGAACCGGTCTGTATGTGGGATCCGAACCCTCAGTGGGAGTGCCGCCGCACTTCCCAAGCGGCGCACTATAGCAGTGCGCCACCGGGCCGGCCCGAGAACTGGTTTTTTAAGATAAATTTAGCTAATTTCTATGTTTTTTACTATATGTTAAATTACAGAAAATTCTGATAACTCTAATACCTGATTCCAGATCTTTATAATCACTGCTTATGTATTCAACACTAAAGACTTTTCTTTAGTTTTCTGTTGCTTGCCTACACCATTTTATAACAGTACTTTTTTCGATCGCCCCTTCCCCTTCTATTTCTTTCCTCAAGGCTCCATCACCCGACATGATATAGACTCACCGCCAACATCAGAGCGTGTTGTCAGCATTTACAAGTATGAAGACATTTTTATGCCATCCGCTGCCTATCAGACCTTCTCTTCTCCATTCTGTTTGCTTCTCATCGTTGCCCTGACGTTCTACTTACTGATGGGAACCCCTTAACCACAGATGAAAGGCCAATCAATGAAATGGATTGGAAAGTCTTTCATATAAATATATTTTTAAGGAATAACTAGTATAATTTTAGCTTCTATTATTCCAAAAAAACAGAAACAAAAAACTCATATGGTTTCAGCTTTTTGGAAAAAAGAACAAGCTTCTTTTTTAGTCAAAGAGGATTGTTTAATAATGACCCCATACTTTTGGAAAGTACTTAAAACTTTTCTAAGCACTTTCAAACATATGTTATTTGAGTTCATGACATCTCTGAGTTGGCTTGATGAAAGTTATGATTGCCATCTGACTGAAGGGGATTTGACACCCAGAGAGGCTGCCTTTTTATGATCCACCTGTCATGTAGCCTTGGCTACTTGCTCAAATAACACACAGCAAGGTAGAGAAAGATCTAGACATTGAAATCATGTCTCTGAACAATCTTTACTCTGAGTACTACAGCATAAGAGTTACTAGGGAGTATTACTATGGAGAACTTCTCTGGATGTCCCAGTTTAACAAGTCAGCCTCTTGGGCAGAAGAACATCAAATTTCCATAAAGCCTAAGTGCTTTTGGATATTTACACAGCTGATGGGGAGATTACAGTGATATGAAAATGCTTCATATTTATTTGAAATTTCTTCTCCATTAATGAGTAGCTATGAGAAAACATTTTTATTGCTGTTTGGAAAAGTTAGAAATGGAACTGTGAATGTTCCTGAAGACGTAAAATTATGTTAATGATAAAAAATATGGGAATTCTTAGCAGTTAGAATTTGGATTCTTCTACCACTGTATTTTTTTTTTTTTTTTGTCTTTTTCCATGTCCAGCAACGGATCCCAACCCTCAGTGTTGCCCCGTACCGGACCGGGGACCGGCAACGGGATTGCAACCCTCGGGGTTGCTCCCTCACCTCGCTCAGCCAGTGAGCAGGAACCGGTCTGTATGTGGGATCCGAACCCTCGGGCGGGAGCGCCGCCGCGCTTCCCAAGCAGCGCACTTATCCAGTGCGCCACTGGGCCGGCCCTACCACTGTATTTTTAAATTAAGGTATTCATCCGTGGTTGCAGACAATTCTGTTGTCAGAATCAGCATACATTGAATATGACTAAATATATATTATAACAGACAAATCATCTTAATAAAAATTTAAGGCCTCTTAATGATAAATCAACATTTTTGGAGATTGTAGAAATTTGGAGTAGGAATTTTTAAAAGATGAGATGTTTTTGTTGAATGGGAAAATGACCCACAAAGTGAATTCACCTGGAGTATCCATTAAAAATGTTGAGATTTGTAGATTGGACTGGCAGTCAGCACAATTTATAACACCCCGTTTATGTGATGTGTTTCCTGTTTTCAAAGAAGCCCCAATGTTCCTTTGTTCAACATGTCTGTGCTAACAGCCCATTTAGAGGACAGGAATCTACTTGTGCTTCTGGGGCATTTCCACTGTGACATTCCAGAATTCACTGGCTTGCCCCCATTTCTATAAAGCTGGCTTAAACTTTATGGTTTTTATGATTAAATGACACTGGAGACTGTGATTTCTAATGACATCCTCAAGATTCATGTCAGAGGTGAACATTTGCCTGTGGGGAGAGCTTTCAAATTCTTCTGCAACCAAATCAAAATAAGGAAAACATCGATGTTCTGTGACATTGCACAGTTACCAAGCGCTTCCGAGGGACATAGGAGAAATATTCCTCATTGTAGATGGGGAGAGATTAAATGAGATCAAGTGAGCGATGGAACTGGGTAGGATTTGAACTCAAGACCTCTGGTTCACATTCACAACTCTGCCTGGCCACCAGCGCCTCTTTACTATGATCTTCAGTCACAGCTGAGCATGACCTGTGCATCACCTTCTCAGCTGTAGTGGTTGTTAAGTAGTGAGGATACTGACTATGCAGGCATCCACGTTGTAAATAAGAAAGCAAATATTTTTATATTTCACTCTCTTATGTGTATAATATTTGAGCTATAAATAGATTAAGATGAAAGAGAGACTTTAGCTAGCAGCAGGCAGGGAGGGAATAAATGAATGGTTTCCTTCAGCTTATGTTTCAAATCAAGTTGGTTATTTCACTAATTGTTTCTACTTTGACTACCAGTTTTGCATATTTATGCTTAGAACTTTCAATGACTTCTCATTGCCAGTGAGGTAAATGCAAACCATTTTGATGACCTCCAATATCATCTTTTCTGTACCTCCTCACTTGCTAGGTCCCAGCAATACTGAAGGGCTCTCAGTTCTTCAGACCTGCTCTCTCTCACCTCTCTGGTGTTCTCTGCATTCAAACATTCTCTGCCTCCTGTGCTTGTTGAAGTCCTTATTACTTTCAGGTCACAGCTTAAATATTTCTTTCTCCAATCCCCTGGACTACGTATGTTTAGATCCTGCCAAATGCCTCAACATAATACTCATCATACCTTACTCCAATTGCTGGCTTGTCCTCCCTCCTAACTTTCTAATGTGGGGACCATTTCTCATTACTTGTCATTGTAGTGGACACTACCCCGTAGTAGGTGCTCAGCAAACACTTGTGGAATGAATAAATATATGAAATTACTTCTATGGCAAGTTTTTTGGTTCAGAAGGCTTGTATTTCATATACATTACTAGATCATCCAACATTTTTATATTCTTCCACTTTTATATTCATCTGTGATCAAACTATAAACCATTCTTTTAGCAAACACCGATCTTTGTCTTTTGAACCGTAAATAGAAAGATCTTTAGTAACAATGCTGTTTTGCCCTGCAGTGAATATTAGTTGACATTTTAAAACAATAATCATTGTTCAGAAATAAGAATTCACAAACCAGGGATGCAGAACAGCATTTGACCATCATCTCAGAGAACCATCAATTGATAAGACATGCTGATGTTAAAGCTCTGATGATTTCAATTTCATTCATTCTTATCTAATATAAGGGAATCTACTTCTAGTATATCTTTGTATTTCCATTTTCTAATATAAAACTTGTCATGGGGGAGATGCTCAATCAGTCTTTTTTATAAAATGCCTAAATAGAATAATAATAATGCTAGTTAAATGTATTTAGTGCTGTTCTAAGCACTTTGCATGGATTAACTCGTTAAATCCTCAGAACAACCAGAGGAAGTAGATTCTATTACTAGTCCAATTTTACAAATGAAAAAACTGAGGCTAATCATTTGGCATAAATTACCAGTACAGGCAAGGACTTTAGAGACCATTTAATCAAAAGCACTTACTATACAAGGGGGCAACTGAGGCCTAGGGAAGTGACATGATTTCCTATACCTTCACATGCATTATTAAACTTTTATTAAATGGAACCCAGTATCCACGCTCAAATTAACTAGGTGCCTTTTTTCAACTTTAGCAATTTACAATGAATAGGAGAAATTTTTATAGCTATATTTGGGGAAAGGAGCACATTTTACTTTGTTTCAACTTTCTTCTCTGCTTAAAAGAATTTTGATTCTTTATTTTATCAGTCATTTGAGCACTTTTAATAGTTTTTTTTTTTTTTTAATTTTACCACAGGTTGGACAAAACTGGAAGAATGTATTTGTCTTAGCTGATTTTTAAAAGTGACTTGCCCAAAACCTAGGTCTTCTAACTTGGAGCCTAATACCCTTTTATTGTCCCACTGTAGTATAGAAGGTGAATTTATAAACATGATTTCAGACCAAATGCAGGAGCCATATTTAATTATCTCAAGTTGGCTTTTGTCATTAAAGAAATCAGAAAGTTTGGACAACTCGAGGATCGATTTCCATCCCAGATGACACCTACTACTACTTCTGTAATTATGTATACTGTCTATATTCTGGATTTTGTGCTTAAGATATATTTCCACTGAGGTTGTGTGTCATTCTTAGCTCTAACCCAAGGGCCAGCAACTTTCTCTGTAAAGAGCCAGATGGTAAATATTTTAGACTTTGCAGTCTCTGTCTTACCTATTCATCTCTGCTGTAGGCAGTACATAAGTGAATGAACATGGCTGTGTTCCAATAAAACTTAATGGACACTGAAATTTGAATTTCATATAATTTTCACATGTCACAAATATGAGCATACTTCAAAAAGTTCATGGAAAGATTCGTATTATCTTTTAATTCTATTTTTCCACGAACTTTTTGAAGTACCCTTATATTATTTTGATTTAAAAAAAAACTCTTTAAAATGCAACAATCATTCTTAGCTTGCAGGCCACAGAAAAATAGAAAGCAGGCTGCGTTTGGCTGTGGACTGTGGTTTTTCCACCCTTGCTCTTGGCTAGGGAGACACCAATGTATCATGATCAGTTGTAAAGTTTATTGCGAGTAGTAAGTTACTGGTTAATCGTAAAAATATCAAAGTTAGTGAATAATTTGTTTTTAGAATAATAGTTGACTTATTGTTATAAATAAATGGCATAATGGCATTCCCATGCACTTATAATCTAATATATTTTCCAGAGTTGATGCAAAAGAGGTGGTGGTAAAGTATGGCTACGCAGCAGTTTTATTTTGCTTAAGCTGTGGCTATTGGGAGCAATGTTGACTGCTGAACTGCTCTTCCTGGTGACAATTTCAATGTTTCAAAGTAATTTATTTCTCTGTAGAATTTTTTTAACGTTTTATCAAAATCTGCTACACCCACAGGAGTGTTTTGCACATATGACATGCCATCTACCTTATGTATCATAATGGAAAAATGTTTGAGAGCCACTGGAGGAGGCCAGATGCTGAGAAGTGTATACTTTGCTGTTGTATAAATTGTATATCCTTGTTCTATAAACAGAATTGGTTGTTTAGTGAACAGTTTGATTGTTCGCACTGTGTTTATATATATAAATTTGTACATACATGATAGTGTGTACATATGTAAACGCCCACATATACACACCATGAGCACTTGAAAGATCTTTGTCAGGGGTGTTTCTGTTTCTCATCTCTTGACTACTTTAAAACCCAAGAGATAAAACATTGTGCATATTACAGGCAAAACTACCCTTGAGTTTGTAGTAATTTAGTTTGTAGACAGGATTCCTGGATCTTTTATTAAGCCTTGCGTCTTTCATTCAACATTATGTGAATTAAGAACGTATAAAGTATCATCGTTGAATTTGACTTTTCTATACTGTTAAGAAACCAGGACTAGTGTTAGCTGAGTAACTGGCATGTTGATGCAACCTATACACATTTTGTATTTATTAAGATTCTTTATTCAGTTATTCAGTTATCAAATTACTTAGTTTCAATTTGGACTTTATTTTTATATTTAATAGATGGCTTGCGTATAAGTTCCTTTTCATGAAAATAATGGCTAGGCTAATGTGATTTTAAATGTCTGGTGACTAAAAATTGAAGTGAATCATCAAGCTATTTGGGATTTTGCACTTAAAATATACTGATGCTTGATTAATATTTTCAGTTTTCTTCTGGATCTTTGTTATTAGGCAAATAGCCATTCAGTTTGATTCTTCTGGAAAGTAATCAATTCTCTAAGGTTACGGGGTGCTGCGGTAAGCATGGTATTTACCTGGGGCACTAGAGTCCTTACCTTTT